AAAAACTGCTGGGAAGGTAACCAGAATGCCTAGTGAGGTCTTAAAAATAAACTAGTTAATAGATGTAAGTGTAGAAAGGAACAAGGGCAAACAAATATCCAGCTGATGCCTCTTTAGCTACTTACAACTTACAACTTTAAGTTTTTTTCTGTGTGGGTACATCTACACCACACATAGCTTATTTCGAAATAGCACGTCTATACTGCAGGGAAGCCTCAAAATTAGTCCGAGGCAGGCTTCCCTAATGTAGATGTACTATCTTGATTTAGAGTCCTAGGAGCAACTGAGAAGGAATAACTTAAAATGGCTCTGGTGAGGGGCTATTTCGAAATAGCAACAGAGGAGTATCTACACACACCTTATTTCAAAATAGCTATTTCGGAATAGGCATTATTCCTCCTAGAATGAGGTTTACATTTCAAAATAGCAACAGTGGAGTATCTACACACGCCTTATTTCAAAATAGCTATTTCGGAATAGGCATTATTCCTCCTAGAATGAGGCTGCCTCATTGCAGCAGGTGTAACAGTTAATCCGAACTAAGGACTTAGTTTGGATTAACTTCTGACTGCTGCGTGTAGCCACGGGCAGTCAGTTCGAACTAAGGGGATTTAAAAATGGCACCCACCCGGGAACATGCAAATGAATCCCGGGATTTAAATATCCCGGGCTTCATTTGCAAGTTCGAATGCCTACATTAGCCACCCTAATTTGAAGTATGGGGCTAGTGTAGACATACCCTAAGAGCTGGAGCAGGGATGGGGAACCTAAGGCCCAGGGCCCTCCCAGCATTAGAGAGCCCACACTGGCACTCCAACCTCCCCCCAATGCCACTCCACCATGGAGCTGGAGCACACAAAATCTACTAGGCTGGGCCTCCATAGGATCTGGTGTGTGCGGGGAAAGTGGGGAGAGTCTTTCTCCTTCTCAGTCAAGGGGCACATCAATGAGGATTTGTTGGGGGGGAGGGCGGAGCGGCTTGTGATTCTCACTTGTGTGTGGCCCCCAACTGATCTTTCTATGGGTCAGCAGCACCTGACTCAAAAAAGGGTTTCCACCCCCTGAACTAGAGTGTTATCAGGGTAACTTACAAAGCCCTGAGGGTCCTAATTTATAGCAGCCTCTGGCATGCTCCCAGCCCTGTCTTTGGTGTGAGGAGATCCTTGGAAGGCTGCCTCAGCAGTGCCTACATGGGGGAAATCCCAACAAAATATGGAACTTTTAGAACCCACTTTTTGTCAATCTGGTTAGCGCAAAGAGGGCCAGAGTGTGTGTGTGTGAGGAGGGGTACCGTACGTGAGGAAGTGAATTTCACCTGTGAGGTTTTGATTCCTGGCCCTTTGCTGTCAGTGCTTTACATAGTTAATGTATTGCTGTGAGGTAACAATCAGCCAGAAGTATAAACTTTGCTTATAAAGCACATTGCGGATTTTGCTGATCCAATTACAGTACTATAGTTAAACTGGCAAAGCCATCCAAGCATGGACCCAATTATATCAATATCAAAGTGCTTGTACTAATACAGCATACACTGAAATAGAGAACTGGCATAAATTAGACAGGTAGAAGTACAGTTATGCCATGTATACACTAGCTATTTGCAGTATTGTTGTAGCCATGTTCATGCCAAGACATTAGAAATACAGTGTGGCAAAGGAGATGAGGTAATTTCCTTTATTGACCCAACTTCTGTTAGTGAGAGGCACAAGCTTTTGAGCTTACAAGTTGTTCTGATAAAATATATTATCTTATCCACCTTGTATTTCTAGCATATACTGTACTAGCATACTGGCAAACCTATGTCATTAAAAATAATCACTCCAAGCCAGCATAGCTATGCCAGTGACATGTTTAAGTGCAGACCATTTTCAAGATGTCTAATTACCTGAATATAGGTCTAATAAATAACGAAAAAAGCCTATCATGTGTGTTAATAGACAAAATAAATGCACATGAAAAAGCAACTCAGAAGGGCAAAGCACTTTGCCAAGAAAGTTCCAAAATAAAGAATATTCTTAGTTTTCTTTGTGTTTACTTTGTAATTCAATAGTTCAGTCATGATAGCAACTGTCACATCACAAGATATGTGTGGTAAACTTAAGACAGAGTAGTGACCAATTAGTGGGGTGAGTTTTGGTATTTTGGCCTGCCAGTACAAGACAGATACATCTTCTCCAGTCTTGAAGACAATTTAGGATTGTTCTAGTATGGCCTCCTGCTGGTTTTGTTAGCTCTTGCCATTGCAATTCATATCTCCTTCATCTCTGCTTTTTCTCTCTCTGGAGGCACCAAATATCTGGTGAGCGACTGGCATTTCGCGGGGCTCTATAATAATGAAAAATCCCAATTTGTATGTACTGGGCAGTTGTGACAGTCACTGTGGGGCCTGTCAAATGGTGAGAAGCAATAATACTTTATACTCCTGAAACACCTAAGAAGTTAAAGGGCCACATTGTTAAAGGTATTTAAGCATCTAATACCCTCTGAAATTAATGGGAAT